TCTCTCCCCCCTCTCTCCTTGTCCCCTCCCTGTAGTACTATACCTCCCTCCTCCTTCGCTCCACCCCTCCCCTCCCCTCCATGTTTCTTTTTCTGTCTTTTTCACACACTACGCTCCTTCCTTTCGTGTTTCATTTAGAAAACGCAGCCTCAAGGCGGCGTTATCTTCTTGATGATATGGACTTTACAGCTGACGCCTCCTTTCTCGGCCGCAACTTGTCAGTTCCATTGATTGGTGTGGGCCGGATGATGAAGAGGAAATAGGTCCTACCAAGCCACGCTTTATGGAACGTTCCTTCCTTCATGCAGTTTATCGGTTTCGTCCATCGAATTATCTCGTCGATTTGGTTCACGACTGATACTTTAGTTAGATGACAGTGAGTTGATGCCTCTCCGAGCAAACATCCCAGGTTATATGTCACAACAACATCAACACGACTTCATTTTGACTCCAATTTGACACCATTCTGATAGTTTTTTTTTTTTTTTTTGCATCATTTGGTCTCTCTATTTTGCCTGGCAGCGCGTTGAAGTCTCCTCCGAGCCGCGTTCCCGCCCAGCGACGATATGTATTCCCCGCCGCTTTCGAAAGAGCACGCCACGGCCCGGCATGGGTTCGTCGCCGGTTCGACGTTGGGCTGCAGGGGCCGCTGACCGGTGGTCGAAGGGCCGCACGCAGTTGTCTCGCGTTTCTCAGGAGAACCGTGCGGTGTTCTGTGACCTGACCCTCGCGATAGCTTCATTGGCGAGTTGAATAAGGCAGAGGAGGATCCAGCCCAGGCCAGTCGTCGCGAATCTCAGAATATGCGTTTGGTGCCAAATCCCGTGAGAAATGATCCCGTTTTTCTTTGCGTCCGCTGCTCGCTCCGCCGCTCGTGGCGAGAGCCGTAAGGGACATTGTGGTGGAGGAGGAAGGGGTCGAGGGAAGGAGGCGAGGGGCGTCGGGCTCGCGCGTGCGGCTTATCTTGAGAAGCGGAACTAATGCCGGAAGCAGCACCCCGTCCGAGGCCTGCCGGGAACAGAGAGAGAGACCCGTCGTCTTCAAACGCGTGCAATTTTGATAAATTTGCAAACAGCGCGCTCCGCGACTAATTGTACGCTCGTTGCCCTATCTCTCAGAGGAAACGTGCCCGTGCTAGATGTGATCCAGGATTGGCAAACAAACGCATGCAAACTGGGTCCCATTTTAAAAAACTAGTTAGTTCGTACAGCATAAAGGTAAAGAAGTTTTCTTTTTCAAAAAGCTGACCCATGCACTCTACAATAAATATGAGTGTATATGAGCGGGGTCTTAAGCGGTTCCAGCGCGCGAGGTAGAGGGGCCTAAATGCCTGAATTGGTTCAGCGGTGGTGCTCTCAACTCGAACCTCCAGCCCGTCGCATTTTTGTTTTGTTTTTGCCCCGATCCGGACGAACCGAAATGAGCGGTGCCGGCTATGTATAATTTATGGGGCCTCGTCCTGCCCGTCTTTCTGTCTTTCAGTCAGTCCGCCCGTCTGTCCTTCCGACTTTCCGTCCGCCCAAGACGCTGCTGCCGCTGTGTCAACATTTCCAAGCATCGGTCTCCGTCACCGACCAGTGCTTTTGCTTATGGCAGCTGCTGGCGTGCAGGCGCGCGCTCGAGCGTGCGCGTGTGTTTTTGAAAAATGGTTATTTTCGCGCCTCGGGGCTGGCGGCTGTTTTCTAGTTTGCCGCCCCCTCTGCCCATGCTGTAGTCCTCCGAAACGTCTAAAGAGTTCAATAATTATGACCCACGTGTTTTCTGGGTTGAGACAACGTAAGATGGCCTTTTCTGTTTCCTTTTGTTGGCCGCCTCTGCTGGGTGCTGGGTTGTGCAACATTGACCAGCAGCTGCCAAAAAATCGAGCGATAGTGCGGCCTTGACGGAGACCTCTTGGCCGCGTTCTGACCGCACCGACTGAACCTACAGGAGATTACATTTCTGTATATTTTACGACGTTTCCTTGGCTTTTTCATTCCATAAAAGGAAAAAGATGGGCAGCTGCTTTTCTGCGGACCCATTTTTCACAGCCCTTTAGTTTGATCTCGTTCGGTGGTACGCTTCATTGAAAAGGGCGGGCCAGCCTCAACCGAGCCGCTTGCGAGCACAACCCAGACAAATGCAGAAGGCGAAAGAAGAGCAGGCCCTTGATAAATTGGCCGAGATCTACACTTCCAATTGACGTATCGATGGATCGTCTTGCTCTCGCGGCGCCGATTACTTTTTATTAGATTGATCCGTATGTTTTGCGCAACGGCGCGCGAGGCGTCTTCTAGGCAGGGCTGGCGGGGCTGGCGGGGCGGGACAAGGCAAGGCGCAGGACGGCGCGTCGTCGGCGGCGGGGCTCGCTTGTCCAGGAGTCCTGGGACTGTGCGCAGCCTGCCGCAGCCCACGTCACAAAAGGAACAATCGAGTTTAAAGGACCTAACCGGTCACCGCGGAAAGGACGCCCGCTCCGCCACGCCCCGCCACGCCCCGCCACGCCCCGCCACGCCCCGCCGTCTGGACGCAGGATGCCGGAGCCGCATCCCTCCTGGATGTGTAGGGCCTCGACCCACCTAAGCACAGCAAAACTAAAAACTCTGCCGCTGAATTCGCAACTGTGGACTGCGGCAGGACGTGCCGACTTTGTTGTTCCAGAGGCAGGGAGATGGGGGGAGGGGGGAGGGGTGCGTGACTGAAACTGAAACATTGCTCCGAGTTCCACACTGACACAGGTGAACTCGTAGAAAATCTCAAAGTTCAGATTTGGAGAAGGCGATAGGGGGGAGAGACGGAGAAAGAGTGTCTGTGTGAGAGAGGGAGAACGAGAGAGCGAGAGAGAGAGAGCGAGCGAGGGGGGGGGGGGGGCTCTTTGATAGGCGGTCCCTTTGGCCTCCCCCCCTCCCCTCTCCCCCTCGATCCTCTTTCTCCCTTCGTCTTTCTCTCTCTCAATGAGAGCGCGATGCGCAGTGCCCTGCTATGTGTTTGCTCCGCGTGCCGGCTCGCTAAGCAGAGCAGCACAGGGCGGCACTTGAACTGAACATCTTTTGCGCCTCGTTGCTCGCACAACCATCGGCACTGTGTGCGTTTGACATGAGTATGAGAAATTGGGCGCGAGAGTCGAGTCTCAGTTCGTCTCAGTCTCTATTATTGTCTCTGCCACTGACTTCAGATGAAAGGGTTGGTTGCATGCCGCATGTTTTGTCTTTCGTACTGTACACGTACACTCGGTTCGGTCGCCCGCGGGTCCAACGACCTGTATCCCGCGGGCCGACACTTTTTCGCGTGAAATTACAGTTTCGGTTCTTCTTTACGAGCCGCTCCTCCCCGCCTTCTCTGAGGGGCCCGTGATGCACTCCCGCGAGCAAGCTCTTGGCCGCGAGCCGGTACGCTGTATCCGATTGCAGTTTCCTCAGAATCGGTCGCGAGATTCGCGAACGCGTGGGGTTCGCCCTTCCACTTCCACCTCTTTGCTTCGCTATCCTATCCTAGCCCCCCCCCCC